CGACAAAGGGTGCTCGATAAACAGTTTATCGGCAAAGACCTCTTTGCCGAGTGCACTTTGTTGGGCACTCGGCAAATTCTTTGCCGAGTGCTAATCTGACACTCGGCCAAGAAAAGTCACCGTGATGGCGAGCGCCACCGTGACGGCGGCTTTGCTGAGTGTCAAGGTCAAGCACTCGGCAAAGGTCTCCGCTTTGCCGAGCATCGTAGGCTTAGACACTCGGCAAAGGTGTCCACTGTGCCGAGTGCCACGGGCCAGGCACTCGACAAAGGGTGCCTGTTTGCCGAGTGTCCTGCCAAGACACTTGGCAAACAGGCGCCCTTTGCTGAGTTCCTGGCCCGTGGCACTCAGCAAATCTGTGATGTTTGCCGAGTGTAATGGCCTTTGCACTCGGCAAAGCATGTTCTTAGGTAGTCACTTTGTCGAGTGTCATGGCCATTGCACTCGGCAAAGTGACTGAAAACAGCCTTTTTATTTGTTTTTTACATCCCATCCAAACAAACAGAAGATATATATAACAAACATCACCAACATCACATATATATCATCAATAGCACATATATATCGCAAACGTCACATATATATCACAAACGTCATATGTCTCACAATATATCACAAATAAGTTCACAAGTAATCCAAGTGCTCCATCATCTACAACCACAATTGCAAATAGAAGTACCATTAACAACCACAAGTATCATCACCAAGATGGCCAATAAGACTAATTTGGTGAAGGATTCGCTGAAGCATGAGGATCGTTCGATGACGCCGATTGATTCTGCACAAAGGACAAGAGATTGCATGTGTGAGACAAGATAAATATATACCATACATGAATAAAACTTTCATACTCCACTAGGTTTTGACCGTAAGCATGAACATACAAACTAAAACATTTATACTCACAGGAGTAGAATAGTGAGGATGTGGAGCTGGATGTGGAGCGAATAGCGAAGGTGGCGGAACTACACCCGTAGCGGCGCCAAGACTTTGCATGTACTGAAGAATCTCCGCCATCCTCCGCTGCTCGGCCTCCCGCTCGGCCTCCACCCTCTCCATCTTCGCCTGCATTTGCTCCCATATCCTCCTCTCTTGTTCTAGCTGGGCCTACAATATATTCACCCCAATGTTACAATAATGCAAAGGAAAGGTATGAAAAAACCAATGAACGACGAATAAACCAAGAATAACCTCGAGTGCCTCCACCCGGTGGTGTGAAGTGTCCTGCCGAGGTCGTATGGTCGGGCTCCTACTCGTGCTGCTTGCTCGAATCTGGGAGAGACTGGGAGTAGTGGCCGAGTCGATTGCGCCGTCGCCAATCCAGTACCGCCCATGCTTCTTGCCTCCTCCCACCCTCATGATGACTTCTCCATCAAGGTCCTCGGTGCTCGGATCGTACTCTGGCCCATGGACCTCCCTTGCCATCGATGTGTACTCACTAAAGCAGTTGTGGATGGTCGCGTTGTTGTACGCCTCGGGCCCATCCTCCGGGTTGTAGTTGACGTCGGACGTTGCCTTGCCCTTGTGGGCCATAGCAAATGCCTTGAAGATGGAGCAAGGCTGGCCACCATGTGACGCCGACTGCAAGAAAAATAGCAAGATGATTAAAAATCATGCAGAATTGAGCGTTAGAATAAATAAATAAATTCACGTACCCATGTTTCTGTGTATCCACTGAGGTTGTGGCTGCCTTGATGGTGTGCTACACCTGGCATCATCAAATGCCGCTCCCGGCATAAGTTGTGCGTCTCCTCCCACTCGCGTGAGCACCACTTGTCCACCATCTGTTCCTAGCACTGGGGATGCGCGGTGCACCAATAAGGAATCATCTATAGGCCATCAAGTACATGACATATCAGAAGATGAAATTAAGCCTACTTAATCTCAAAAGGAATCAGTATTAATGTTCTGTATTTACCTGCAGGTACTGGTCCCGGGTCAGCGTCATGATTCTTGCGTCCCTTTTGGTGACCTTCGTTCCAAGGATGGTCCCGTGGTAAGTTACGACGGCCTGGATGCGCGCCTCGTAATGTCCACGATGAGTTTTTTGCAGCATTTGGTAGCCACCGCATCCTCCCTAGCCTCATGTCCGTCCTGGCATCTAAAGAAATCATGCATACAAACATGATGTATCCATTCATTATTTCAAGAATATCCAATGATGCGATGTATTGAGCAATGTAGTGCGAGGAAGACTTACCCACAGCTCTTGCTTCACCCGCTCCACCTTGTTGTTGAATACCCTGCGGCCCGATCTGCAGCATTGGGGGCAGCGGCGTAGTGGTCAAACGAGTAGGCCGCCCCCATCACTCCGGCGTACTCAACCAGGGCAGGGAAGTGCTCCTTGCACAGAAGACCAAGGATGCCATTGACTTGGCGTGTGTGACCACCTCCACTCGCCACAATCGGCCAGTTCCTGCCCAAGTGATTAAGAAAAATTATTAGTTTCTATTTTGATTTTCAACATATCATATAAAGTAGTGATAACATCTAAAGTTACTTACTTTTCCCCCTCGGGTCGAATCAGCGGGCGTCTCTCACGAGGTATCGGTCGCTGAGGGAGGCTCACGGGACCTCGCAAGTAGATGCTCGACGAACTAGAGGAAGCAGAACCCCCTGCTGTCGTCTCCTCCTCATCGTCCTCCTGCGCCTCCTCGGCGTCCTCCTGGGGCACCTGCTCCTCCTCCTCCTCACCACACGACGGGGCGGCAGGCGACGGCTCCCTCCTGCGGCTACTCCTCCTCCTACTCCCACCGCCCACCATCTTTTCTATGGCTTATAAGTCGGCTGATGCTGTTTTATTGTGAGAGAAAAACACTGTATCATGATTGATAAGCATGGCTGATACGATCAAGCGAACATGGTGTATATATTCGAAATAGTATCAGAATGGGGAATGTTCGAAAATAGTCATTAAATACTATGCTATAAATTGATTTGTTGAAATATATACATGGCTTGGCAAGAACTGTATTTTTTACTCTACAAAACAATTTCTATACTCGCTAATACTTTTTCTGTTCCCATGTCTATCCATAGAAACACGGTCATGTTGCTATGATAAAATTTTGAATTTGCAAGAATATGACTAATATTAGGTTGAGGATTGTGGAATATCTAATAAGCACTCATACTAAATGGGATTTTACCATAAAATAGCATTCCTCTAATTACTTTTCTTAGGACATGGAAAATAGAATCAACCTGGGTGGACACTTGAATGGTAATTATCAGTAATTGGTTTTGGATACTAATTTAAACTTGTTGCACATCAAGTACTTTGTTTCTTTGAATCTTATCAGGCACTATGCTATTTTTTTGTTATGTACAATGATGGAACAATTTTTTTTCTCCAACTAATTTTTAGTTTCAATACATATCAGTCAGAGAAAAATTACTAAAAGATTAAGTACCAGTTGTGCAATTAGAATTACAAACAATTTAAGCATAAAACATCAAGAAAATATAAGAAATTAGTTCAAAGTGTCTATTAAACAGTGTCGATGGCGGCGGGGCGGCGGCGTACCAGTGGAAGGGCACCCCGCCGGACTTGATCCGCGCGACGTCCACGACGAGCTGCTGGTAGTGGTCGGGGCGCCTCCTCCTCCTCCTTCTTCCTCCTCCTTCTCTTCCGCCTTCTTCCTCCTTCTTCCTCCTCTCCTCCTCCTCTCTTTCTCCTCCTCTGGCGGCGCGGGCGCGAGCGGGGGCGGCGGCGGTGCTGGCGCGGGCAGCGGCGGCGGCGCTGGCGCGGTCTGCCTGTGTGCGTGTGTGCGGTGTGTGTGGGCCGGTTGGGCCGGCGGGGTTAAATCCCCCCTTTGCCGAGTGCCCCTGATCTGGCACTCAGCAAACTATTTTTTTTAATTTTTTTAAATTCTTTGCCGAGTGCCACCCGGCCTGGCACTTGGCAAAGAGGGTTTTTTTTATTTTTTTTAAAATTATTTGCCGAGTGCCATACGTCCTGACACTCGGCAAAGTGGTGATTTGCCGAGTGTCATTTTTTGACACTCGGCAAACCATATTTTTTCACTTTTGACCTCCAAATTTTTTCTGCAGTCCTCATACAATACCTGGTACTCCATGTTCCAATGTGGCACATTTCTCGGACTTTTTCTATATTTCTTTAATTTATTTTATTTAATTGAATTTTCTTGGATAATTCAAATTATAATTGCTAGTCATTCGAATAATAAAAAAATAAATGGAAAAATGATATTCATGTTATTTAGTATAATGTGAGGCCGTATCCAGGAACAGACCACCAATTTCGAACATCTTTTTCATGAAACGTGACTACGAACTTGCGGTCGAGTTGTTTTTCAATTCTGTAAAAAGCAAACGAAGACCGAAAATCTTGAAACTTGTTAAGATGTCATGATATCATATGTAACTCAGCCCTTATGCTATTGTTCACTTTTTTCTTTTTTTCTCTTTTTTCATTTTTTAGCTCCTCTGGGCTTCGTCCGCTGTTCTTTTTCCTTTTTTTTCTTTTTTTTTTTGTTGCTCCTTCGGGCTTCGACCATTGTTTTGTTTGGTGCTGTTCAATCTTTTCGTTCCCCTACACGCACGTAGCGGACGGCGCGAATCAGCCTAGTCTGATAAAGTCAGCGTGAGACGAGCCCCCTTGATCGCCCTGGCTGCCGTATCTTTGGCCGCCGCCGTGAGACGAGCCCCTTCCTTGATGAAGCTATACTGCACAAAGTAAGCTATACTAGGACACAAAATAAATGAAGAAAACACCCAACTATAGAATCAAACTAATGTTACATCGTTAGTTGTGCCACGATGATCACTTTCATTCATGCCAATACCAAATCTATACACATGTGTAACTCTAGATTCGAATCAAAGTTAATTGTGTGAAGTAATTTTCATATTAGTTAATATATATTAAACATGAATTTCTATTTTAATATATATTAACTAATATGAAATAGATTTGGTATTTCTTCAATATTATACACATTCATGCAAATTTCTATTTTCATATTAGTGCCTCGGATTCAATCACCCACCTCGCCGTCGTCATATCCCCGCATCTCCACCCCGAGCTTCATCTCCTGCACGATGAACATCGTGTTCATCTTCTGCTCCGCGTACATGGGCCAGCACAGGAGCGGCAGCCCCGCCACGATGCCCTCCAGCGTCGAGTTCCATCCGCAGCGCGTCACGAAAGCGCCGGCCGCCCTGTGGCGCAGCACGTCCACCTGCGTCTCCCAGCACTTGACCACGAGGCCTCTGCCCTTGGTCCGCTCCAAGAACCCGTCTGGAAGGAGCACGCTGAGGTCTGGCTCTGGCAGCGTGTCGCGTCTGTCGCCGAGGCCCAGCTTTTCGTCGTCGACTCTGCCCGGGGCGTGCACCACCCAGAGAAACCTCTGCTCTGACCTCTCCAGGCCGACGGCGATCTCCTTCAGCAGCCTCTCGGAGAACGTGCCCTGGCTCCCGAAGCAGAGGAACACGACACTGCGGTCGGGCTGCGAGTCCAGCCAGCGGAGGCACTCGTGGTCCTTTTCCCCGCCGCCGCCGGAGACCAGTGCGCCGATGCAGTAGACCGGTGGCGTGGCACGGCCAGGCACGCACAGCCCCTCCCTCAGAGCACGCACCGCCCGCGTTTCCAGCTCCACGAAGGTGTTGAGGAGGATCCCGTCGGACGCCGGCATCCGCTCGAGGATGGCATTGGCTGCTTCCGGGTCGTCGAGAACTACTCTCGGCAGATCCGACGCCTTGAATGGAGGAGCGCCCGGCAAGGAAAGGGTGGTGTCGCCGCCAGCGGTCAAGGAAGCTGCACTGATGTCTTGGTTGAAGGCGAGGCTGAGGAAGGCGGCGAGGTCACCAGCGCACGAGGCGTAGGTGTAGTAGACGGGCAGCCTGAGGTCGGCCGCAACGTCGAGGGCATCGGGGCAGAACATGTCGATGACGAGCGCGTCGACGGCGGGCAGCGACCGGAGGAAGTCACGGAGCGGAGCGTTCATGGCCTTCAGGCAGTACACCATCTCGAGGACGTAGTGCTTCCTCGTTGGAGCATCGTCGGAGCTAGAGCTGGAATCCGAGCCAGAACCAGAGGTCGCGGGCAGCGACGACGACGCCGGTAGGACGTGGAAGGAGATGGACGGGTTGGAGGCCGCGGCGCGGGCGACCACGGCGGGGAATTCGACGGCCCCGAGGTCGGGGGGCGGCTTCACGAGCGCCACGGTCACGGCGACGCCGTGCTGGACGAAGACCTTGGCCAGCACGATCATCGGCATCAGGTGGCCGGCGCAGCCGAGGCCAGGGTACGGAACCACGGTTTTCTTCATGGCTAGCTGCGCGGCTCAGCTCGAGTTGGCTCTGGCCTTCTTGGAAGGAAGAGGACGCTGCGGACCCGACAGGGGTTGTGTTCCACTGATCGCTGCTTCACATAACGCATGCTAGTACACGTCAAAATTGGAATGGAGTACTGCACGCTGGCCACGTCGCCATGTGGGTAGGCCAAATGCTTGGCTGTCGTGGCGAGAAGCACTGTGGCAACCTTTAATTACTTCGTGCGAAGTACTGTAAACAGCACTAGCACGGGCCTAGCACAGTTGACAGTTGGGAACGGCATGCTAAGGTACGGTACTAATCGGCACGACGTCCTAACCGTGCCGTGCTGTATCGTGTCGCCGGGCCGCAGTCACGGCCCAGGCACGACACTAAAGGCTCTTACACGTACCAAATCCATCGGCACAGGGCGTCGCCACATCGCCGACACAGAACCATGCCGAGTCGTCGTCGCAGCTCCGTACTGCGCATCATCACGTCGCGGTTCCGCTGGTTACCGCGCCGCTGACGCTGTGGCCCTGCGTCGTCCACTGACTCGCCGAACCACTGCGGTGCCGCCATACCTGCCTTGAGGAGAAGACAACATAGGGAGCATTAGTAGGAGTGGTATGGCCACTACAGGAGAACGCAGATTTGCCGAGTGCCGCTAGCTTTGTCGAGTGCCAAAAATCGGGCACTCGGCGAAGCCACTCTTTGCCGAGTGCCAGACCGGGTGGCACTCGGCAAAATCTAGCACTCGGCAAAGAGTGGCTTTGCCGAGTGCCACAGAGTGTCCGGCACTCGGCAAAGGGCGACACTCGGCAAAAGCCCTTGGCTTGTTGGCCGACCTAGGGCAACCCGACGATGTCCTCATCCCGATGGGGTTTCTCCTTGGCGAGAGTTTCTCTACGGTTTCTTGCTAGTTTGCTCGAAAACTAGCTGTTCTTCGTCAAGCAAGCACGATTGGTTATCTTTTGGTGGTTTCCCCGTAAACCTCGCCGTTCTTCACCACGTAAGTGTTTTTTTTTTTGCCCTAGGCCTTTCTCGGGCTATCTAGAAAAAGGGCTTTCTCGGGCTAAACACGAGAGAACCGGCAAGGCCGACTCACTAAACCAGCTAGGCCGGTTTATGCAAAGTCGCCCCGTCTTGGCCCATTTTGTGATCAGTGCTATCTAGTGGTGTGATACTTGTTGCCCTAGGGCTTTCTCGGGCGAAACACGAGAGAACCGGTAAAGCCGAATCCCTGGACTGGCTAGGCCGGTTTCTGTAGAGTGGCACCTCCTCGGTCCGTTTTGCGACCCGTGCATCCTAGCACTTGTAGTGTGCGACCGATCTTCGCGTCAACAAATACTTTAATCAAAATTAAGAAAGTTTCGCTTCATCCAACTATACATTTTTTTAGATGAGCCACTTAGGCAGTGACAGCAACTACAGCTGCACGTCAGCAGGAACACGACATGCTTTTAAAAAGGGGGCGCCTTTGCAAACCATGTAGCAGGCCCTTGACAATTACAGCCACTGAGCCAGGTTAATTAATTTGCAGTGACTTGGGTCTATCCATGGAGACCGTATATAGCTTCATCAGAAGAGCAGTAGGCATTATCCAATCACGACACATAGCCGGGGAAATATATAGTAGAACACCAAAAATTACAGACTATAAGAACAAGCAAAGACAGCAGACGGTCGGCAACACGAATACAGAATGTCAGAATACCAAGATAAAAGTGTGTGTCCGTGTCAGTTGTTGTACATCGTACCGCTACTCTATTCCACAACACTTGATCGAGCAGACAGCAGAGCAAGCTGGCACTCCTTCACGAACGGGATGAGATGTTGTCAAGATCCTGGAGAAATCTGACGAAGTCAGCGTGAGACGAGCCCCCTTCCTGGATCGCCTTGGCTGCCGCATCTTTGGCCGCCGCCGCCCTCTCTCTGAGCGCCCGCCCACCCTCGGATTCCATCACCCACCTTATCTTTGTCTCCACCTGATCGGCCGCCACCACCTCGCCGTCGTATCCCCTCATCTCCACCCCGAGCTTCATCTCCTGCACGATGAACACCTTGTTCATCTTCTGCTCTGCATACATCGGCCAGCACAGGAGCGGCAGCCCCGCCGTGATGCCCTCCAGCGTCGAGTTCCACCCACAGTGCGTCATGAAAGCGCCGGCCGCCCTGTGGCGCAGCACGTCCACCTGCGGCGCCCAGCACTTGAACACGTGGCCTCTGCCCGCGGTCCTCTCCAAGAAGCCGTCTGGAAGGAGCGCGCCGAGGTCTGGCTCCGGCAGCACCTCGTCGACGATGCGCCGGGTGCGCACCACCCAGAGAAACCTCTGCTCTGACCTCTCCAGGCCGACGGCGACCTCCTTCAGCTGTCTCTCGGAGAACGTGCCCCGGCTCCCGAAGCAGAGGAACACGACGCTGTGGTCGGGCTGCGAGTCCAGCCAGCGGAGGCACTCCTGCTCCTTTTCCCCACCGCCGCCGGACACCAGTGGCCCGATGCAGTAGACCGGTGGCGTGTCACGGCCGGGCACGCACAGCCCGTCCCGCAGAGCGCGCACCGCCCGCATCTCCAGCTCCACGAAGGTGTTGACGAGGATCCCGTCGGACGCCGCCATCCGCTGCAGCGTTTGGAGGATGGCCTTGCCTGCTTCGAGGTCCTTGTCATCTTCTCTCGGCAGATCCGACGCCTTGAACAGAGGAGCGCCCGGCAAGGAAAGGGTAGCATCGCCAGCGTCTATGGAAGCTGTGTAGGTGTCTTGGTCGAAGGCGAGGCTGAGGAAGACAGCGAGGTCCCCGGCGCACGAGGCGTAGGAGTAGTAGACGGGCAGCCTGAGTTCGGCCGCGACGTCGAGCGCGTCGGGGCAGAACATGTCGATGACGAGCGCGTCAACGGCGGGCAGCGATCGGAGGAAGTCGCGGAGCGGAGCGTTCATGGTCTTGAGGTAGTCCACCATCTGGAGGACGTAGTGCTTCTTGCTGGAAGCATCGTCGGAGCTGGAGCCGGAGCCGGTGCCAGAACCAGAGGTCGCGGGCAGCGACGACGACGCCGGTAGGACGTGGAAGGAGATGGACGGGTTGGAGGCCGCGGCACAGGCGACCACGGCGGGGAAGTCGAGGGCCCCGAGCTCGGACGGCGGCTTCACGAGCGCCACGGTGACGGCGACGCCATGCTGGACGAAGACCTTGGCCAGCTCGATCATCGGAATCAGGTGGCCGGCGCCGAGGCCCGGGTAGAGAACCACGGTTTTCTTCATCGCTAGCGGCACGGCTCAGCTCGAGTTGGCTCTGGCCTTCTTGGAAGAAAGTGGACGCTGCGGACCCGACAGGGGTGCGCTCCACTGATCACTGCTGCATATAACACATGTGAGTACACTGTATACCTGGCAAAATTGGAGTGGAGTACCGCACGCTGGCCACGTCCACTACCGAAAACAGTAGGTATGCCGAGTGCCTTAGGATTTATCGAGTGCATTGCATCGAGCAGTCGGCAAACTTCCTGTGTGCTGAGTGCCGCCGTGGAAAACATTCAGCATATATATATATATATATATATATATATATTGCTCTCGGCAAAAACGCTCTTGTCGAGTGTCTTAAAGTAAACAATAGGCAAATAATAACGAAATATTCGGCAAACATCAGGCACTCGGCAAAATAGCAGCACGTGCGTCGGCCGTGCAACGGCCGCCGGTTGGAGCGCCCTGCCGTTAGCACTTTGCCGAGTGTCCGTTAGTGACTCTCGGCAAAGACATTATTTGCCGAGTGTTTTTTGTTAGCTCTCGGTAAAGCCTAAACTTTTTTTCCCTCTGCTGCCCTCAAAATTTTTTCCAATCTCTACCTATAGTACGTGGTACTCCATGTTAAAATTTGATATATTTCTCGGTCCGTTTGCTATATTTAATTAATTTATTTCATTTAAAAGAATTTTTTGGTATAACTAAAATTTGAACCGCAAGTGATTCAATTAATGGAATAAAATGAGTGGAAAAATGATATTCATGTTCTTGAGTCCAGTGTGAGGCCTTATGCGGGAAATGAAAGGAAATTTTGAATATCTTATTCATAAAACACGACCACGAACGTGTGGCCGAATTGTTTTTAAATTGTATAAAAAGCAAACGAAGTCTGAAAATTATGAGTTTTGTCAAGATCTCATGATATCATACAGGGAGGCTATGGTAAAAAATTGAGAAGGTTTCGCATAATCTGTCACGTATGATGTTTACAAACAAAAATATCTCAGAAAAAGAATCGTAGCGTTGAGAAGAATTCGATAAGATTTAGAGTCAAAGTGATGGTTGAATTGGGGTTTGACTTCAAAACTTTTTTATAGGCAATACAGAACATAGATTGATTCATGTGTAATTTTGGTAATTTTTTTTCCGTTTGATAATTTTAATTTATTAAGTGCAATTATAGAATTTTAATTGATATAAATTGAATTTAAGCTATAACTGCATTAAATAATAAGTGTTTTTCTATTCTGACCTTGAAACTTTTTCTACTCTTCACATACAACATGTGGTACTCCATGTTAAGATTTGGTATATTTCTGGATCTGTTTGCTATATTTAATTAATTTATTGAATTTCAAGGAATTTTTTGGTATAAGTCAAATTGGAACTGCAAGTGATTCAAATAATAGAATAAAATGAGTAGAAAAATGATATTCATGTTATTGAGTCCGGTGTGAGGCTTTACCCGGGAAATGAAAAGAAATTTCGAACATCTTATTCAGAAACACGACCATGAACGTGTGACCGAATGGTTTTTAAATTCTAAAAAAAACAAACGAAGTCTGAAAATCATGAGATTTGTCAAGATTTCATGATATCATACGTGGAGGCCATGGTAAAAAAATTGAGATGGTTTCGCATAATCTGTCAAGTACGATGTTTACAAACCAAAGTATCTCCGAGGAAGTATCGTAGCGTTGAGAAGGATTCAGTAGGATGGAGTCAAAGTGACAGTCGAATTGGAGTTTGACTTCAAAACTTTTTTGTATAGGCAATAGAAAACATATATTAATTCATGTGTAATTTTGGTAATTTTTTTGGATCCTTTTGATAATTTTAATTTATTAAGTGCAATTATAGGATTTTAATTGATATAGGTTGAATTTAAGTTATAACCGCATGAAATAATAAGTTTTTTTCTCTTCTGACCTTGAAACTGTGTTGTTAAACAGATAATGTGATGTAGAGTTAGTGTGATGAAATGTCTATTTGAGCATGAGTTAGTAGATCAGTTTGCTAGTGTATTGCTAGAAACTCTAAACCCCCAATAATTTGCTAGTGTTGTTTTCAACCTTCCTATAAACATTAGCACTACTCTGAACCTGTCTCTGATTAGGGGCACAGGCTCTCCTTAGAGCCTTGACCACCTAGATGCAAGCTATCAACTGAAAGATCAAATAAAATGTTAGTTGGTGCATCTAATCATTTGCAAAGAAAAGATGAGTTGGTTACACAAGTAGTCGCTCGTCATATATCAAATGCATTTGGTTAGGTAACAACAGGACTATAGAAGGGTAGGTTTTGCTAAATGGTTCATGCTTCAACAAGAAATGCCATGCCTAAGCTAGGTACAGTTGGGATTGTACTGATGAAATATGGGAGTGACATGCTAGTTCAATCAGTTATTTAGCTGTCATTGTTGTCCAATTTGACTAGTATCAGCATGAATCCTCCCTGGGTCATGCTTGACTGTTAGTTTCTTTTAGCTACAACCTTGTCTTGCTACGGCTGAAATTAACTCTCCCAGATAAAGTCCTTCCTTGGAACAAATTTAGAAAAACACGGTAAGGAAAAGAAGAAAAAAACTGGGTTTGTCGAGTGCCGCTAATCGGGCACTCGGCAAGCCCCCCCCCCTAACCCGGCCGCACACACGCACACAGTGTGAAATGAAATAAAAAAGGTTTGTCGAGTGCCCCGAATCTGGCACTTGGCAAATCTGGGGTTCGCCGAGTCTCAGATCAGGGGCACTCGGCAAACCCCCCCTATATCCACCCCACCCGGACCGACCCGCACACACACATGCACGCACACACACAGCCACCCGCGCCCGACCGCCTGCCCCGCCCCCGCAGCCAGCCCCGCTCGCGCGCCAGCGCCGCCTCCTCCGCGCCCGCCGCCTGCCCCGCACCCGCACCCCGCCGCCTGCCTCGCGCCTCTTCGTCACCAAGCCGGAAGCCGCCGCCCAGGACCTACTCCACCACGTCCACGACGCCTCTCGGTGCCCTGGACCTGCCTCGAGCCTTCGCCACCACGGACCGCGGTGCTGCGTCCAATGCTCTGCGTCCAGAACCCCGACGCGACCTCTCAGAGCCACCTCGTCGTCACCACGAACGCCGGCGCGCGCACCTCTGCACCGGCCCTGCCTGCACCGACCCCAACCGGCGTCATGCAATCCGCCTTCACCTAGCCCGCCGGTGAGCAACTGAACCCAAAGCTCCACCTTTTGGCCTTGACAACATCCCTCTCTTGCTTGACTTGGTCAGACACTAATTTCTGTGAATATAACTTATCAGTCATTGCTTTACTTCAAGTCTGGCATTGCCAGATGTCTCTGTATGCTTGATAGCTGTTTCTAAACCTTGAAGTAACAGATTGGCATTGGTTGTTCTGTCGATGATGCTTATGTACGGGTAAGCTAGATAGGGATGCAAGCAGCAGAATATGCCATAGTCTTACTTGGTGCATATATTATGTACAATTGTGCCTGTCTTTTCAGGAATGGGGAAAAAAGTAGGATCCTTTTTGAAAGGCACAAATGAGCATGCCTATACCATGCTGTTGCGTGCAGATTCTTGATTAGTTCAAACATGGGGGTCCGGTCCTGTGTTTATTCTTGTTCTTTATCAGTTCAAACAGATTGCCACGAACATGCTTGATTGCCTTCATTTGACAGAGAAACCAATATTCTAAGATTGGCTGGTGAACATGGGGGACATGATTTAGGCTGGTGGTGTGTTATGGCAGGTGGAGCTGGCCAGGGGCCCACGCGGCACTGTGCGTGTGAACAGTACCAGGTCAGATTAGATTAGATTGGTTTGGTTTGTTAGAAAAGAGATAAATTAGATTGATTCGGTTAGGATATTACTTAGGGGTCAAATAAGTTGTCTCTATAAAAGGGATCATCTTGTATCAGTTAGAGTCAAGCAAGAAGAAATCATAAGATAGTTCCCGAGGAAAGGGCGGCTATCCGGGGTCTCTCGGCTAATCCATCTATCCGTAGCTAATCCATAACAATTTGGTATCAGAGATCCAGCGCAAGGGCATCGTCATCCACCATGACCGGCCCTAGCATCGATCCTGCGACCTTTTCCGCCAAGCTCGACCACATCCTCGCACTACTCGACATCATCAATGGCAATACATCTGCTGCACCGCCTTCATCAACAATAGACCTCGTGGTGGAGGACCCTGTGCTGCAGCAGGGGGCCGTGGCTATGGATGGCATAGATCAGCATGATCTTGTCGATGCCACCGCCGCCGACAAGACCCTTGAGCACGCCTTGCACATGGAGGAGCTCATGCAGATCACCGACTGCAACCAGCTACGCAGCTTTGACGAGGCACCATCGGCCGTCCACTTCGCCGAATCGGATCGGATCGATTCCGCTGTGGTTGCTGCACCGCCGTCCTTAACGACATCGCCAGCAGCACCATCGGCAGCCGTAGTGGTGCCAGTGTAGTTCCACACTGCTACGCCACTTGCTGCATCGGCGCCATCACCAGCAACGACGGTGTCAGCTACATCGTTGTGCTCCTCTTTCCCCACCATGGTCACATCACCAATGAAGGTCCCGGCTGCCACAACTCCGGCAGTCTCATCACCAGCTTCGCCAATAACCCCACCGGCACTAGTGTCACCAATGCAGGCGATCATCCATGCACCGACATTGGTGGACATGGTGCCTTTGTCGCTGCCTCTACGAGCCGCAGCACCGATCCCTCGAGCAGGCCATGGCTGTTTGCATGCGCTTATTCTCCGCTGGCTCAGCAGCAGGCCTTCAAAGCTCCATCGGTCGCTTCGAGTACGCCTCCAGCACAGCCCCGCTCTGCTGCACCCATAGCAGGGGTGGCTGCTTGTGGAGGGCACCATCGACTCCTCGTGCAGGCGCTCCATGGATTCGAGCCGGGCGGATTCGATTCCAGGCAAATCAGATGGAGCAGCCAAGTTTGGCACCTCGAGGAGGAAGGTATGGATCGTGCACCACTACAGAAGCAGATCCCATGGGACGGAGTTGATT